CCCCCCCCCGCGCCTCATTTCCGCGCTGGCTGCTCCGTCCGCGCGCCGCGCGGAATTTGCCCGTTATAGCGGGGACAAAAATATTCCGCCCGGTCGTGTATAAAGCGGCCGCTTGCGTTTTCCGCTTTTGTGCCACTTGGCTCGAGCGCCGCTAAACCGCTGCGATATATATATATAAAAAATATATATATCGAGAGAGAGAGAGAGAGAGAGAATCTTGCGAGCATAAAAACGAAAAATCAATCATCCGCAGTGCGAGCAGAATGTGGCTCTAGTCTGCTCGTAAAATTTATGATAGCGTTTTGCATGAAATAAAATGGACACCCAGTACACACATGATGAATAGATACGATAAAGAAAGGGCTGCGCGGATGTTAATTCTTCGAATGACTGTATATTAAATAAAGTTTCTCCGAGGGGGAAACCGCTGACCAAGATCTTGTACACCAATGCCCAGTGGGCATTACTTTAACTTGTTATCTTATTTACCTTGTTTTATTTTATCTTTATAATGCCCCAGCGTGGCCTAATGCCTAGTAATGCCCGGTAATGCCGCAAATCCGTATACCACAATGCCCTCAGCGGTTTACCCCTCGGTCAACGCCGAGGGGGAAACCGCTGACCGAAATCTTGTACACTGATGCCCGGTGGGCATTACTTTATCTTATTAACTTATCTTATTTTATCTTTATAACGTCCAGCAAGGGGGGGGGGGCTAATGCCCAAACTAATGCCTAGTAATGTCCAGTAATTCCGCAAATCTGTAAATACCCTCAGCGGTTTTCCCCTCGACTTTCTTCATGTCGGTCCTTTTTTTTTTTTCTTTCAGACCATCGTTAGTGACGTTAAGTTACGATGGCACATGAAACGTTTATTAAACGCAGTTAACGTAAAAGTTAGTATGCCACTTTTATATCACTTTGCATTTAATACACCATCATGTGTTTACTGGATACTGTTTTTTTTTTTAAATTTATTATGTACTTTGCAACTTTTTTAACTTGAAATTGCAACCTGACCGCCCATTGGAATCTGCGAATTTACTTGTGCAAATTTGTCTTCCCTCCCTAATTAGACGAGAGACCCAGAGGGTTGGGATGCCACTTCGTTGATTATTGGCTTTTTTTAATAAAATCGCGACCAGAAGAGCTAAGGTTCTGCCTCTGACTCACGCGGTGTCTACGACGAGATTTCAAGACGTAAGATTTAGGAAATCGGCCAATTACAGTCGAGTATTCTCCTCACATTCGACTGGGATTGATTAATTTCTGAATGATCTTACGTCTTAAAGCCTCATCGTAGACGCCGCATAAGACAGACGCGGTTTTATATTAGCCGTATAAATTTGATCTTGAATATTGCGCTCTCTTAATATCACTGGTCTCAAGGATAAATTTTCTTCTATTTACGTAGCTGTCCGGCGGTAAAGGTCAGATCATAAACTTGGGTGCTGGTTTCGACACCCTTTACTGGAGACTCAGGGAGGCCAGGAACAGCCCTGCGAATTTCGTGGAGCTCGACTTTCCCAGCATAACCGCGAAGAAATGTTACCACATCAAGAAGCACAAGCAATTAATCGATATGCTGAACACCGAAGGTATTCTATCGTACGATACTCGGTCGCGTCCGCCCTTGCGACCTTTGCGTTCTCTCATTACGCGCGCAACTGTGCGATTATTTCAGACGGAGAAATCCGATTCTCGACCACGGACCTGCACGCCGCGAATTATCATCTGGTTGGTACAGATCTGCGACACATAGCGGAGCTAAATAACAAATTGACCCAAGCCGAAGTCAATTTCAATTTACCCACCATGTTCCTCGCAGAATGTGTTCTAGTATACGTAGACGCTGGCGCGACCTCGTCACTCTTGAAGTGGCTAGCGGGCAAGTTTCCGAACAGCCTCTTCGTCAGCTACGAACAGGTGAACATGAAGGACAAGTTCGGCCAGGTCATGTTGTCGAATCTACGCAGCCGTGGCTGTTTATTGGCGGGCGTGGAGGATTGCGAGGCGTTAGAGACTCAGCAGAGACGGTAAGGTGGCAATCCCCACGGCGTAGCCCCGTCGTTTCCGAACCGGCGACCGGGCGAGTAATTGGACCGTTTGCAACTGTTGCAGCTTCACCATAAACAATTGGGAGGGCACGAGCGCGTGGACGATGGTGGACGTTTATGATTCACTGCCTGAAATTGATCGTAGTCGAATCGAGCACATAGAGATGCTGGACGAGCGAGAGCTCCTCACCCAGCTGCTCCAGCACTACTGCATCGCCGTCGCTTGGAACGGACAAACGTTTAAAAATCTGTCTATAGCACAGGGTTAGGTATTACCGCCTGACCCCTTCTCTCTATGTCTCTCTCGCGAGTTACTCCAGGTAATGACGTCACGTAATTCGGGCTCGACGGGCCCGCGTAAGTTACGTAACGCCCCGGTCGACAGCAGGAGATTAACGTTTCTCAGATTGCGCTTAAGTACATCCCGAAACTAATCGACGAGTTGAAATAGTCCACGAGGGTGTAGTAGCCTCGAGTTGAAATGCTTCTAACTTTTTCGTCTACGGAAACGTCGTAATGATTTTTATATAAGCTGTACTTGTTCGTTCCTTGCCAAGCGCGTAATTGTACGCGTTGCGAGCCGTTTAACGAGATAGCTGCAACGAGAACGAGAGAGAGAGAGAGATAGGATCGCGATGACCGAATCGCGCGAGATCCGTAGGCGGCTAGCTAGGCATCGACGGCGGTCGGACAAGCACTGGCATCCTTTCGCAGACGATATTTCCAGTCATCCTAATTTATGTGCGACATATCTGACTTATGTGTTAATGGTAAACGATTCTACCTGCGAAGACCGTCTCGCTCTTCAATGCAGATTCATGTATAAAGTTTTACGGTCGTTATTATAATTATAGATTGCTATTGTTATATAGTCGCGGCTGAACGGCGCGACGCGGTGCGCAGAGTAATTTATTATACCTATTGTACGAGACATCATTGAGGATCAAACGGTTCAACTTATTACGTCTTTACCACCTCGCTTGTTATCCGTGTACAGGCACACCTCGTTTTGCCGCGCAATTTTTCCAACAGCATGCTCACTTCGTACTTCTGTGTCACATTTTTTTTAGCGATAAAATATTTTTTAACTAAGCCGTGTACCTACACATGTTTTTTTAGACAGTGCTGACACTTAATATGCCACGGTGTGGTGTAAGCATAACTTTTATATGCACTGGGAAATCAAATTCTTGTGTTTCGCTTCGTTGCGATGATCTGGAACCGAACCCGCAGTATCCTTCGAGGTATGCCTGTATAATCTCTTCATTTTAATAAGTGGACGTTGCAGAGTCCGCGCTGGTTGCGAAGGATAATTTCATACATACGAAGTTTTGCAAAAATCTCCTCTTTTTATCTGCATTCTTCTACGATTTTCGCGCGTTGGGAACGCGCTCTCACTCAGGTGGGGACAAGTTTGAAGGGAAAGAGGCTGGAAAGATGTGTAGAAGGTACAGCTAAAAAGGCGCGAGTCTATATTTTTAACCTTTGACCGCAAATACAAAGCTATTTTTCTGAAAAAGAGAAAAAAATCAGTCGTACATAGAACTTCGATTCTACGAAAGTCTTAATATATATATTACGATATATTTGAGATACGATGTAAAATTATTCCTTGCGCGCGCGACCCGATCCTTGTGTGCATGCGTGTGTGTGTGTGCGTGCGCGTGCGAGAGTGCGTGCTATATGTTAGAGATTACGATTTATTGAGCCGTGATAAGGCGATTAGTATTACGATGTAAGCGATCAGTTTCGTACAGGCGCGTGTCTTGCGAGCCGCGCGGAAATATATATAGTATATACATAAATGAGTGATTACTTAAAATAATAAATGTGTGCAACGAAAGTAAGACTTTAAGTGTCGAGCGTGGTACTCTTGCGAAGGAATCAACGCGCGACCGGATACCACGCCTTTGCGAGCATCAGCCTGAAAGAGAATCGGCGAGACGCGTTCGTGATTAATTTCATTCGCTCGCTCGTAGAGACATTGATAACTCGTAACATTTGCTTGCATCGAACTGCGAAATTAAAGGAAGGAGAGACGCGCGCCGATGTTCTTCGATATAAAAAAATCCGACCGTTTTTTACGTTTTATCATACCGGAGACGCTTATGCTAGCACAGTATTCCGCTTCTTTTCAACACCAAGTGCGACAAAGTATGTTGCACTCAAATCAGGTCACGTGTCGACACACGATAGCGAGGGATCGAGACAAAGATTTATTTTCATATTGAGGAATATCAGGGTGACGCATGTGTATTCAGTCTATAAGGATAATACGAGGAGATATCATGAGCTTTTACGAGAGACACTCGAGTCATCCCTTTTGTAGGTACAAAGTGCGTAAAGCGCTCGCGGAGCGGAGCCCGGAGACGCTGTCGTCGCGAGGCGCAAAACGGAGATTCGCGACCGCCGAGATTGTTTATCGAGCATCAGCGTAAGGGGCATTGATCGCGTTTCTGGAGTCCGACGGCCTACCCGAATTGGAATAGTTCTGCAGCGACCTCGTATCTCGGTGCGGTACCTTTCACTTCGGCGATCTCGCGCTCAGCCAGCGTGCGACGCCGGCTCTCCGGGGTTCCGCCGACGAGCGAATCTCTATTAATCACCACGTTCTGTCTTGCGTGTATTTCCCGACACCGTTTCTTTCCGACACCTTTAGCGTTTACGCGAGCAACGGTAACTTATTAGACTTAAGAGAGACGACGAGGATGCGACGCGGATCTCCACCGGCGACCGCGCGGATCCGCGGAAGGATGTACGGGTGTGTGGTTCTTGGGTCTCTTGCCCCTTCGACGAGTAAAATTATACATACCTGGAGTAACGAACACAGTATAAGAAAAAAAAAAGATAGTCAGATGTTCTATTTTTCTCAGAAGTTACGAAAAATTGCAGCCATTGTTACGATATCTATCGACGTTCGTAGGTAAACCCCCTGCCTCCGCCTCCCCTCGCCCGTCATGTCGCCTTTGCACTTGTAGAGGAATAATCGAGACCCCACCTTTCGCGTTAGTTTCGTGTCACGTGTAAGTCATTCGAGGTAAAGTTTGCTGATTTATTCGAGCGCTCTCGTTCATGTGTTCAAGTCGGCTTCGAGTTTGAGAATCAAAGCCTTCCCGGGAAGCGAAAGACCAGCAGCTCCTTCGAGACGTCGCGTCGTCGTGAGAATTCGAGCAAAGCACTGCCACTGTGAAAATTGAGTGGGATCTTGAAACTCAGTGAATTTGCCATTTTCACGCGCACCTGTCGGCTCTTTGAAACGAAAAAAGCGATTGCGACAAATCCGTTTAAGTTTCTAATCTTTGTACAGTAAGATCTTTTCTCTAGGAATTTTTAGGAGTATGATATAAACTAAATTTTGTATCAGTCACACATTTAAGTTAGGCTGATATAATCGCTGCATTTTAATCGCACATTGCGATCAATAGCTGTGTTCCGCAAAAAGTAAAAAAGAAATCTGAGATGCGAGCAAGTCGATCACATCTTTTCCCTATATTGCTAAATTAGAAGCTTTACATTGTTTACTTTCAATAGACAACGAATTTTTCACCTTGTCACAATTATTGCCTAAAGAAGAGCCGCGTATATTTAAGAAGCTTGTTTTACTTAGCTCATTACTTTGTTACATCGTAACGTAGTCACATCGCACAGGATAGAATTATCGTGATTCGCGAGCAATGAAAAAGTTGAGCGAGTACGTAAAGAATTAAACGGGACTGCGAGAACTCGAGAATACAAAGGTAATTTGATTCTCAAGCTTGAGTAATGCGATAACGTTGTGCGAACAGTGCGCGCCGCTTCATGTTTCTTCGTCTCGATTTCATTCTACATTATATTAATAATCTTATGTACAGATGTTGTACACTTTGAAAAAGAATAAGATATGGAAATCTATATATATATAAATATATATATGGACATTCAGTGTGCTTCCACTGTCATTATGAACTGATAAAATACGATGGAAAAATTGTGCATCTTTGTATTCGCATAATTGTGATATATTGTTAAATTGTGCATTTAACGATTAGAAAAAGCGAGCGATCAGTTATCACAATTGATTGTAGTTTCCTGTTTGATACATTTCTTTCACGTGTCTCATGCTAAGGAGTTTCTTTAAGTGGGAAAAGAGAGCAGCTACGATAATATTAAATTATATGAAATATTTTTAAATGTATAAGATTATATATGTATATGCGGTAAAACACTTCTCCCATTTAAAGTCTTTCATTTCATTTATTGTTTAAAAAACGACTTAACAACGGTGTGATCTATGAAAATTATTTTTATTATTTTAACGAAATTGGTGGATTATATAAAATGAATAAACAGCATCTAAGAAAGGAAAAACGTCAAATAGATCATATTATTTGTATAGCTGTACATCTGGAATCGCTGTTTCGTGTAAAGAGGTATTAAAAATACATAATTTTCTATATATATATCTTTAGACACACCTTATGCTTTACACCTTAAATTTAATGTTTGCATTGCTACTGCGTATTCCATTCGTAGTTTCCACGAAAAATACATTCGGTCATGAAGTAACTTTACATTATTTACATGCTTTTTATTCTAAAAATTGTGAAAAGAAATAATGAAATATTCAACTTTCTCCTCACCACGGAGAAAGCAATTTCCATTATGTCTAGCGCGATAAACTCAAGATTGGACAAGGTGTCTTACGGGACAACCGTGTCTTAGAAGCCCAGCGGATTTAATTGTACTGTGCCGCCGACGTCGCACACGTTCTTCGAGATTTTACTCAATTTACTAAATATGTCCAATTGCTTGCTCGAACTGACCTGCTGTAGATTGTATGCAGCGCGATTCGATACCTGTAACAACAAATTGCATTAAGCAATCGTGTCTAGCAATTACAAGACAAATTGTGTATTCGCATTATTGCTAGCAGGATCAAGTAATATTTATATAATATGACAAAAATGAGTCAACTATTCCTAAATTATTCCTAGTCAATCGTCTCAAAAATATATTTTTTCGATTAAATACATGTGTATTTATTCATTAGATTTAGGAAATTGTAATCAACGATTATAGTAAGTGCACTCGATAGCCGTAATATTTATTGATCTTGCTAGAATTTTAATAAAGAATAACATATTCGTACCTCCGCGCACCAAGTTTGTGCCATTAACAACTCGTGTTCTGCGCTAGGCAGATTCTTGTTCAACGACATAGTCGCCCTACTTAGGACAACTGCCATCGTATACGTGTCGAAAGCAGCTTGCGTAATCCTGTTGAGGATAAATTGTTCGTCTATGATGCCTCGTCCGTACTTAATAAGACCGGACTCAATAACTTGGCCAAAGTTCTCCACGCTCTGCAATTATACATATATTTTTTTAATACAAATTTATTCAATAGGAAAAATTGCAGCTCACGTTCAAATTGTTATTCTCACCTTCGAGCAAAGCGCGGCGCTCTCGGCCAATGACGGATGTACCAAATTCCCAAAGGTAGGCGCAGAGTTCAAGCCAATTGCCCTGGTGGCTCGCTTAGTGGCCTCCTCGACGATCAATCCTAAATTCCCTGTAGGATTCTTGAAGGCCTTCTGCAACTCCTTCAAATGGCTTCCGGCGTATTGGATACCAGTGAGCGCCACGAACAAACGCAAAATGTCGTTCGTCCCTTCGAAGATTGGGAATATACGCAGATCGCGCATCACGCGTTCTAGACCGGTCTCGGTCATGAAACCCATTCCTCCCAAGGTCTGGATAGCTTCGTTGCACACCCACCACGCGGACTCGGACCCGAAACACTGAAAAAGGAGTTGTAGCGTGTAATAAATTCGCAGTCTACTGAAACTAGAACTATTGCGTCCACATTTCCATACGATATTCGTAATGCAAAATAAAAATTAATCGCTGGAGAATAGAATTGGTTAGATGAAATAATAAAGAGGACTTGACTGGTTTTAATTGTTTCAGTTTACGAACTTTATCTTGCTGTCGAAAGTACGAGATTTTTCGTAGACTACAGAATCCTTACAACTCGAAAATCATAATATGTAAGTTTAGATAGATTTCCTTCATTAGTTTCTATGAAAAATCTGAAATGTCCGTGTACTTATTTATTAGAATTTCATATAAGGCATTAATAGAGCAATAGAAGTGTCACCTTCGAAATAGCCGCTTCCAGATGATAGTCTTGGCTCCCTTTATCCATGTTACCGGAAATCATGTACGCGAGGGACTCGGTGACATAGTGCAGCATAGACATGCGCCCCAATTTCTCTTGTATCGCGCCGTAATTGTCCAAAGTGCGGCCGAACTGCACGCGTTGCGTCGCGTGATCCACAGCCTTGCTGATGCAGTAACGCATCGTGCCGGAAAGAGCCGCAGACATGCCGAATCTACCGTTGTTCAAAATGTTCATCGCAACCTGAAGTCGAATAAAGCGAGCGTACAGTCGAGCAGCATCGAAAATAATTTTACGCAAATAATCGTAAATATTTCGCCAAGTTTCACGCGAGCTTCAGACAAAATCTTATTAAACACAATACAAATATTGCAACGTGAATCATGTATTAGCCGCAAGTGGATATCAGATACATTATTTATATTTATATTAACGATGTTTGGGATATTTGCAGGGCGCGGAAAAGTGAGAAGCCAAGTGTCTCGGTGAAGTTTTACCTTAAAACCTTCGCCCTCTTTGCCGAGAACGTTCTCCGCCGGGATTTTAACATCCTCGAAGAAGATCGCGGCCGTGTTGCTGCACTTGATGCCCATCTTCTTCTCGGGCGGTCCACTGGTGACGCCGCCGAATCCCCTTTCCACGACGAAAGCGGTCACTTTATCCCTGGTCACTCCCGTTCTCGAATCCTTGACGGGCACCTGCGCGAACACGGTCATGATTTCGGCGATGCCGCCGTTCGATATCCAGATCTTGCTGCCGTTGAGCACGTAGTGCGACCCATCCGCCGATTTAATAGCGCGCGAGCGTATCGAGCCGGCGTCGGAGCCGGAGCTCGGTTCCGTCAGGCAGAAAGCGGCGTATTTGCCACCGCTGACTTGGGGCAGGTACTTGGCCTTCTGTTCTGGCGTGCCGTACAAAAGTATACCCTGTGAATGTTTATAGTAACACATTATAATCATGTCAATGATATTAACAATACTCGACCGTCATGTATAAATAATAGAAAGGCCTGTTGCGATCATGCTGGATCTCTTGGTGCCTAATTTTTCAACACTACGCGCCGACAACTTTTTCGATCTTAAAATACAGTATTGAGCTAAAGTCATAATAGCATACCTAATTAAATTGTCGATCAATTTAATAATGATGCTAATGAAGCATCCTTTAGAAATAATCTATAAATTATCTATTGTGAAAGATATTTCCTCAGACAGGACTCGAGCCTGGATCTCCCGAAAATATTAGAAAGCATCAAGAACCGGCAAGGCCGTAAAGGCCTGTGTCCACGATG